TTAAGATTTTACAAATTTAAATTTTTGTCAAATTTTGCCATTTTAACATTATAAAATTAAACTATAAAATGTTGAAAAAAAAAAATTTCAAAATTTTTTTTATTCAAACACACCTAGATCGATTCGGCTTTTCATTCTGATCAAGAATATATATGATTTATAGGGTCGGAAATGATTCCTTCACTTAGTTTTAAGCTGCTGACTAAAATTATAATACCCTTAAGAGGTTAGAATAATGTAGTAAAAGTAAAATAACTTATAATTTAGTGGGGCTCTTAACTTTGAGTATATGTTTGTAATTATTCTTTATACAAAGTGCTGCATCACTTTAAATTAAAATTAGGTAAATGGAGACCAAGTAAGGAAATCAATTGGAAAATAAGTGCAAAGCTAGCACAGCTAATTCTAAACCTAGGCCTGATACCTTCTCTAGCATCTGATATATGATATGATATAATGATATAAATATATAAAATGGTTACGACTCACCGCAGTAATTCCTTCCATTGTTATGTTCTTGGTGACTTTAATTAGGCTTCTCATCATCTTGATCGAAGTAAGCTTCTTCTTCCTGGTTATCCAGATGTATTCCAATGGCCACGTCATATTTGTCGGGTTGCAGGTTAATCACAATCACTATCACTTTAGATGTTAACACTAGGTACCCCTAGGACAGACTGAGGCGCGCGGGCCGATAGCGCCTCTATTTATAGTTCCCGAGAAGAGAGAGGAGCAGAGAAAGTGAGCGAGAGAGTAAGAGATATCGCTAGCGATTGGCAGAGGGAAAGAGTTGCCTCTCGAGAGGCACAGAGGAAGAAGCATATAGAGAGTTGGACATATCGAGAGATAGTGAGAGAGAGGGGGAGAGGGGGAGTGAGCTATTTATTATTATTATTATTTATTCACTGCCATTGCAATATTTTATTATTTCAAGAACGGAAACTAACTTCGCCACGTCATCGTTTTTATTTATTTATGATATAGTCGTCTGATTTTAATAAATAAATAAATAATAATATTTTAATATTAAAAACGAACATTTAAAATAATACAAAATTGCTTTATTTCAAATTTGATGAAAATATGTTAAAATGAATGAAAATATGAAAATGTGTTAAATATAATATTTAAATATGTATAATGAATGATTAAAAATCAGTACAGTATTTATATATTTGATGTCCACAGATCACAATAATAAGTGCTTAAATATTCAATATTTTCCCATATTTACATAAACTAAAATTCTTATTATTATTTAAAATAATTAATTAAATTTACATTTTTATCAGCTGTATTTGGCCTTTATATATTTATAAATTAACAAAGATATTGCGCTTAATATTACATCGAAAATATAATACAATTTTATATACTGAATTTTAAAAAAGAATATTTACATACCTAACTTTTAAATACCAATATGACATATTTATTAATACAAAAAACCCTAAATTTCTTTTTCAATTATGTTGTTTTTGGATATATCGAAAAAGAATTTATATTTATGATTATTTATTTATTGTACATGTACTTTTGCGTTGAAAATTAGTACAGTACTTAAATATTGATGTTTTTTTAATGTGCACAGATCAGAATAATAGATTCTTAAATATTCCATACTTTTTCATATTTCTATAAACTAAAATTCGATTTATTTTATGTACATTTTATCGGCAGTTTTTAACCTTTATTATCATTTTAAATCTTCTCTTTTTCTGGTGATTTTAAAATGAAATAAAACTAAATAAAAAGAAGAAAAAAGGCACCCTGTTTCTCCCTTATTCGAATGCGTCTCGGTTTTTATTTTCGTTTCCTTTATTCAGTGGCAACTTTTGTAGCTGGAGCGGCTGCCTTTTGTGTTGTTTGTGTGCACATTTCAGTGCCAACAACTGTCAATCTTTCCGCCAGATGAAGCCTCCTCCCCAGGTCCTAACCAGTTCCCTCTGCAGCTCCTTCCCGGTTCCCTTCCCAACTCGCTCCCCGATGCACCCCTTACCAGCTCACCAGCCTCTCATCCTTTCCTCCATCACTTATCCGCCATGTGGTCGTGTGTTTTGATACACATATTGTATCGTTTTGCGGCAGAAGCCAGTTGAGTTCTCTAAGGGAGCAGGTGAGAGGAGGGAGCAGGTAAGGAGGTATCAGGTGGGAGGTGGGAGGTGGAAGGACCCACCCCAAGGTTACCCCCAAAGGAGGCGGCCAGAAGAGGGGGCTCCTTGGTATGGCATAAGTGCCTGTATAAAAGAAGTCGACATTTATTTGCGAGCATGTTGTAAATTGTAAATTACATTCCTAATCTTTGGAAGGGCCCACATACAGTTTTCCCTTACATTTTCCCACCCACACTTGTTTCTTCCTTATTTCCCCCCACTTCCACTGAAGATTTTCCCAAATGACGCACAAATAGACAGCCGGCGAGGCGCAGGCACGCACTTTTGCTCATTTATGTTTTAAATTTCATTTGGAGACAATGGTGGAGGCGGTGGAAATGTCGGTTCGGTTTCGTTGCTGGAAAATTTAAGGCAAGTCAAGATGAGTGGAGAGCGTAAAGTAAAGTAACGTAAAGTATAAGGAAGCACGGGAAAGTTACAATTTAGACGCCCAACTTCAGATGTCGTTGTGCTTAATGCTTTGGGGACTTTTGTCCTTGCCGTGATTTGTATGCATATGTGTGTATGTGTAAATACACTGGGAGAAATATAATGTATACTTTGAAATTTTTTAAACGGTAGCTTAGAAATAAAGTTTAGATTTTTATTTCTTTCCCCTTTTCTTGGAGATTTTCTGCAGCTAAACAGTATAATTTATATATATCAGATTTCAGAATTGAAGGCTAAATAAATATATTATTTCTTTGATAAGTTAAGTTGGGAACCTACAAAAATTCATTTAATAAAAATTTTGTTTTGTTTTTTTTTGTATTAATTCTACGGTGAATATAATTATTTGCACATTGTTAATGCTTTAACTAGATACGTTTTAAACATATAAATGAATTTCCTATATAAATAAATTAATATAGATTATTAATACAATTCCTATTTTGTATTTTTTAATTATTTAATTTGATTTTTTTAAGAGTTTTTGTGTGTATGCATATCCTTATTATTATTATCGTTTTAGTCAGAAGCCCAAAAACAAGTGAAGGAATCATTTCCGACCCTATAAATCATATATATTCTTGATCAGCATCAACAGGGGAATCGATTTAGCCCTCTTCGCCAGGAAAAAAATGTTATCAATTTTTTTCAATATTTTATAATGAATTATATTATTATATTATTTTATATTAAAATTGACAAAAGTTTAAGAAAAAAAATTTTTTTTACATTTTAAGTTGAGTATGCAGATTTATTGCCCTGTTAAAAACTAACATGGAACAGCTTTCCGATTTAAAATTAGTGCGTTTTTAGCTTAGTTATGAGATTTTTAAACTTTGATTTTTACGAAAAAAATGTCATTAATTAAGAAATATTTTAAGCTTAGTTTTGATCGATTTCCAATTTGATTCTATAATTAAATTGCAAACTGCAAGGGTATGTAAGCTTCGGCTTTCCGAAGTTAATTTTCCTTCTTGTTTTACTTTTGTTTAAAGTTTGAAAGAGAAGGAATTAAAATTTATGGTTTAAAGGACTTGAAAAATATTTGTTGTATATAAAGTTTTGAGTTTTTTCTTATTTATTTTACTTAAATTATTTCCAGTATAGTTTTTAAGGTTAATATAATTATTTGCATATTATTCATACTTTATTTTGAGAAGTTTTTAGCAAATAATTTAACTGCCTTATATATTAAAATGAAAATATACAAAAATTAGATAAACAAATTAAGTTGCATATTTCCATTAATTACTTAAAATACCACCCAATTTCTTTCAGTGCTTTGTATAAATTTATCAATGTGTGCGTGTGTCTGTGTGTGGGATGAATGTCGCTTAAAAATCTGCTACAGTGACAATGTCACGTTTTGTGTTAATTTAATTACAAGAAACCATTTGTAAATATTACGACGTGATTTGCAAAGGCACGCATGTTAACCAGGATTTTCCTGGCCCCCCTCCTCATCCTTCTTGACGACTCCCCTTGGCCACGCCCTCCTGTGAGAGTTCCGTGAAAATGATATATAATTTTCAAGCATTTTCATTTGCATTTGCAATTCATACGCACACAAACAAACACACACACACATCTACACCCTGATATGTGTCTTCGCGCAGTTTGTTTGCATACTTTTTGGGAAAAGCAGAGCATTTCCCTCCACCGGAAACACCTACTCCGCCCTCTCTGCTCCTCAAAAAGAAATAATTTCCCTTTTCCGCTGAGTCTGCTTTGCAGCGCAACATGTTGCCAGGAAACATGTTGCCATGCGCTGAATATGTTGCTGAGGCGATTGAAGAAAGAATTAACTTATTTGTGTTTTAAATTAAGTAAATAGGTTAAAAAAAAATATGTTAAAATATATATAAATTTCTTTAAAGGTTTAGGAATTTTGTTACATATTTTACTTAATTTTTAGTTGGGTTTTTATATAACAAAACTAAAAAATTAAGACTGATTTACTCTGCTGGGGTATTACATTTTTATTTATATGATATTTTATAAAGAAACAAAAAAAATTTTGAAGTATATATGTACAAAAATTTTTTATTTTTTAATTTAATGAATTTTTCTTTGTATATTACTGACTTTTTTTGTTGATTTTATAGGTGAAAGAAAAAGAAAATTAAGATGGGTACAATTTATATGGAAATAAAACAAATGTATTTAAGGAAACTCAAAAAAATAAAACAAAAACAAAAATGTATAGCAACAGTATATAGCAAAAACATATATACATATCTAAAATAATTTAAAGATTTCTTTTAATTATTAGTTAAGTTTAAAAACCTAAACTAAGGAAATCATGATAATTTTATATGTACTTCCATTTTAATATACATACATTTCTACAAATATTTATATTTAATTGTATTATTTTTCTTGTGCTTTTATTTTTAGTTGTATTTTTGACGATCGACTCCCATAATGGCATTAAAAATCTTTTTAAATAAACTGTAAGTATTTACCAAGCTGTTTTTTATATATAAATAGTTTCTTTTAATAACTTTTGTTTGGGTAACTCTTTAATATGTTTTGTTACATGAACTTTGGAATTAAAATTTTTAATTTAAAACTGATTTATATTTATATTTCAAAGCGAAGTTAGTGTTATTATAATTTGGCCCTATTTTTAGTTTACTTTAAAAACTCAAAGAAAGTAACTAAAGGGGGTTAACCTGGGTCAATTAATTTAAATATTAATTTTTGAGAGTTTTCACATTAAAAATGTAGCAAAATATTAAATTAAAGTGAAAGTTACTAATATTATAAAGAAGAACTCTGTTTATGACATTTTCAAAGACAATAGTTGTCCTTTAAAACCAAACCCTGTGCAAATATGTATATACCTATTGTTGAATGTTTGCTAATCGCTGGGAAATCCCCAAGAATGTCCCACAAACACACACACAAATACACACCCACCTTGCACCCACCTTACACCCATGGAAAACCCGATAATGCCGCGGCAATTAACAGGCCGCTGAGCTCAATTGGCTATAAAACACAATTTGCATTGATAGGCACCGCAAGGCTTAGGGTTCGGACTTACGGAAGTCACACGTGATGAATCAGTATCGGAATAATATACACATGTAAGTAAGTGTATTGTATATATATATATATATATCCCCCTTGGGGATTAGTTGTGTGTTGTGCAATTACTCACTCAAGGAATCTACCTCCCAGACTCCTGCCTTGGGTGCACTTTAACCCATCGCGCCTATTACTTCTGCTAATGGCCTGCAATTGCAGATGGGCGTACTTGCACGCTTTTTTTTGGCACTCTTGCACACTAAAATACCCGGTCTAAACACTTAAATTAAACAGAACTTCAGGGCAATTCATTTCATTTTCCAGTGCAGTGCAGCAGGGTGTGACAGGTGTGTAACCCTCTCACCTGTTTCCCAGAGATTAAAGGATTCTTGGTTGAAAAATAGAAAAAGGGATTATTCGCCACGATTAGAGATTTGCTTGGGAGATACAAAAAGCTTTTAAGTTGAGTATTTAACAAGAAATTAAGAATTATTATTCAGGTATTTAGGAACTTCAGTTATATTTAAGTTGATTTTTATACCCTTGCAGGGTATTATAATTTCAGTCAGAAGTTTGCAACGCAGTGAAGGAGGCACCTCCGACTATATAAAGTATATATATTCTTGATCAGGATCAACAGCCGAGTCGATCTAGCCATGTCCGTCTGTCCGTCTGTCCGTCTGTCCTTCTGTCCGTCTGTCCGTCTGTCCGTCTGTCCGTTTCTACGCAAACTAGTCTCTCAGTTTTGAAGCTATCTGAATGAAACTTTGTAGTTAGCCTTCTATATACTCTCACTCGTATATATGTCGGAACGGGCCGGATCGAACGACTATATCACATAGCGGCCATAGGACTGATCGAAAAATTTTTACAAAAAAATTTTTAACGTTTTCAGTTTTCAATAGAATTGGATCAAATTTGAGATATAGCCATTTTACTATACTCTACAATTTTGCATAAAATTTTATGAAAATCGGACTAATATATCATATAGCTCCCATAGGAACGATCGAGAAATTAATACAATTAAATTTATAACCTTTTCAGTTTTCAACTGATTTTCATCAAATTTTAGGTATAGGCATTTAATTTAAGTCTTAAATTTTGTGGTAAATTTCATGAAAATCGGACGACTATATCATATAGGTGCCATACAAACGACTGTTTGATGTGGAGGAAAAATGCAAATCAGTGAATGTAAAACTGCAAATATAATATGTATAGGTGAATGAAATGAAAGCAGGTATTACTATATATATAATTTGTATTGTATGGTTTTTTATTCATAGAAGTTCTATCTGCAAGGGTATATAAACTTCGGCGTGTCGAAGTTAGCTTCCTTTCTTGTTCAGTTACTTGTTTCACATTTCTGGTTGCCAGGGATTATATTCTTCAGGACTGTACAATTTAATGTCGGAATAATCCATAAAGTCTTTATCGGGTAAACATTCCATAGAATCGCAGTCTGAACTATCTTCCATTGGAATATCTGTCAAGTTAGAATTGTTCATTTCAGAAGTAGCTGCTTTATCAAGACCATTGCTTTGCATATCAAGATTATGTTCCTGAGGACTGGACACTTTCACTTCAGAATATTCCAGAATGTCTTGATCAGGTAAACATTCCATAGAATCGCAGTCTGAATCACTTTTCGGAGAGTTGTTGACTTTAGTAGATGAATCTTTAACTATTATTTAATATAATTAGTATTTGTAATTGAAAATATATAACATACCCACCTGAACTTCCATTGGGTATAGTCTTCACCTGTTGCTGGTCCTTCTCCAAAAATAAAGGAGCCAAATCCTTGAAGTGCTCCATAAATAGCATTTTGTCCGTGACTATAATCAAGTTCATGTTCTTGCTGGGCAACTTGACATCCTTGATGAATGGTGGCTTTATCTCATGGGCCTTGGGTACGTACTTGTAGCCATCCGTAATGCCCAATTGGTGAAAATCTTTCAAAGTTATTGTTGAATTCGATGTACGCCAGCTGTTCAACGCCACAACATGTTCCTCCATTATGCAACGGATGTTTTTCCAATGATTTGATGATCTATTTTGACTTAAGAAATGCTATATTATGTGTTTTTATGTTGAGTTTCTAGTAGTTTCCAAGAATTGTGAGATGGAGAGGTGCACACACTGGTCACTACTCTAAACAACTTACTGATATCTGCTTATAACTCTGTTTTAAGCTTTTAAACAGGGATAAAGATGTGTTTTTATTAAAAACAAAGATTGTTTTCGTTTAAATACACCCTTTTTGCAAAGCCAAATGTTATTTAAAAAATACTGAATGTGTTTTCTTGATCTTGTCCACTTCGAAATTAGCTTTTTGTTATGAAAGTGACCGTTTTGTGTTTTTGTCAAAATGCCATCGCTTCTACAGTCATGTGTTGTATGTGTTTTTGTACCATTTGGAACGGTTGAAAAGGGAACATGGTTAAATTTTAGAGTAATAACCATTATTGAAATAATGTAAAATAAGCAATAAACAAATTGTTTGTGAATCTACAATTACCTATTACTGAAAAAGTTTAGTAGTAGTAGTGTAGTTTTCCAGGAATAACTATTATCGATATAAGATACGTATATATTTCTATATATATCTTAAAGAAACCACGCCCTTAAGACTCTGTCAAAGAATCGGCTTAAGTTTGGTTTTGGTTTTTGTGGGTAGGGGCAGAGGATGAAATCGGGGGTCTGGGATTGATTTTCCTTGGTTTTCGTAATCAAAAGTTTTGTTCCCACGGCGCGTTTACACTGATTTCCCAGCCAAACACACACACACACTGGGACACACACACACGAAAAGCTTAATTTGCTGCAGTTTGGCCGGGGGAAAATGCGAGGAAAAGCGAATGCTGCGAGGGAAGACGATGTCGCCTCGTCGTTGGGTAGTATAATAAATTTTTGTGTGTTACCAACACTCTGACAAATTAATTAAAATGATTGGCCTGCTCCAGGAGGATGCTCCACCAGCTTTAGCTCCTCCTCCCGCTCCTGCTCCAGCTTCAGCTCCTCCTCCTGCTCCGAGGGAAAGCTGTATCACTCTTCTTCCCCACCGTCACGTTTATGTAGATAAGGATGGCGATGGACGTCGTCGCCTCCTAGGGGAATGGGGGACACTGGGAGACTCTCCGCCACCCCCAAAAAAAGGGGTGGTTGCTGGGTTGAAATTCTCACATTGGCGACGTGTCGCTCGCAATTAGCAAAGTAAGCTTAATGTGGTTTCACTTGAATTACTTACGAGTGTTACAAAAGGGGGTAGAAGGGAGGAAGGAAGGAGCAAGTGGAAGCTTACCATCTACCAAGGATCCACCTCCAGGCTCCTCCTCAGTCTCATCAGTTGCGACGTGCTGGCAAATGCAAGTTCATTTATTTTACTCAAATTTCAAACTGCAACCGATGCACTTGCCACTTGCCACTTGCTACTTGCCGGTTGCCAGTTGCCAGTTGCCAGTTGCCACTTTGGGCAATGGGCGTGGCAGCCATATGCTCATCGCATCGATTCCTATTCTGTGGAAAAGTGTTTGAGGAAAATGTCAGGGAAAAATAATGTTTCATCTAATAAGTTGCTGATTTAAGTTTAATAAAATGAAACCATGGGTCTTCTAAATATGAAAAATCAGAATCAGATATCGGATATATGTATATATGTTCATATATATATATTTGAAGCTTTGTGTTTAAGGCTGTCTCTCTTTCTGCCTCTCCATCCGTATCTATATCTATCTATCTGTATCTCTGTGTCCCTCTCTCTTTGTTTGTATATTTTTGGGTATGTCTATCTCTCTCTCTCTGTGCATCTCTAGAGATAACTCTTTCCCTCTATGTCTCTCAGCCTATCGCTAGCCATATCGCTTACTCTCTAGCGCTCTCTCATATGACGTGGCCATTGGAAGACATCTGGATAACCAAGAAGAAGAAGCTTAATTCGATCAAGATGATATGAAGCCTAATTAAAGTCACCAAGAACATAACACTGGAAGGAATTACTGCGGTGAGTCGTAACCAATTTATATACTTATATTATTATATCACATCATATATCAGATGCTGGGTTTAGAGTTAGCTGTGCTAGCTTTGCATTTATTTTCCAATTGATTTCCTTACTTGGTCTCCATTCACCTAATTTTAATTAAAAGTGATACAGCATTTTGAATTAAGAATACATACAAACATATATATATATATATATATATATATTATATATTATATTTAACACATTTTTATATTTTCATTCATTTTAACATATTGTCATCAAATTTGAAATAAAGCAATTTTGTATTATTTTAAATGTTCGTTTTTATTATTAAAATATTATTATTTATTTATTTATTAAAATCGGACGAATATATCATATAGCTGCCATATGAACGATGACGTGGCGAAGTTAGTTTCCGATCTTTAAATAATAAAATATTGTAATTTCAATGAATAAATAATAATAATAAATAGCTCACTCTTCCCCTCCCTCCCCCTTTCTCTATCTCTCGATATGTCCAACTCTCTTCATGCCTCTTCCTCTGTGCCTCTCGAGAGATAACTCTTTCCCTCTGCCGATCGCTAGCGATATCGCTTACTCTCTCGCTCACTTTCTCTGCTCCTCTCTTCACTCGGGAACTATAAATAGAGGCGCTATCGGGCCGCGCGCCTCAGTCTGTCCTAGGGGTACCTAGTGTTAACATCTAAAGTGATAGTGATTGTGATTAACCTGCAACCCGAAAAATATGACGTGGCCATTGGAAGACATCTGGATAACCAAGAAGAAGAAGCTTAATTCGATCAAGATGATGAGAAGCCTAATCAAAGTCACCAAGAACATAACACTGGAAGGAATTACTGCGGTGAGTCGTAACCAATTTATATATTTATATCATTATATCATATCATATATCAGATGGTAGAGAAGGTATCAGGCCTAGGTTTAGAATTAGCTTTGCATTTATTTTCTAATTGATTTCCTTACTTGGTCTCCAGTTACCTAATTTGAATTTAAAGTGATGCAGCACTTTGTATAAAGAATACCTACTCAAAGTTAAGAGCCCCACTAAATTATAAATTATTTTACTTTTCTTACATTATTCTAACCTTTTAAGAGTATTATAATTTAAGTCTGAAGCTTGCAATAATGTGAAGGAATCATTTCCGACCCTATAAATCATATACATTCTTGATCAGCGTGAACAGCCGAATCGATCTAGCCATCGCTGGCAGCCAAAAAAATTATGATTGCGATAGTGATTACGATTGTGATTACGATAGTAATTACGATTGTTATTACGATAGTGATTAGGATAGTTATTACGATAGTGATTACGATTGTGATTACAATAGTGATTACCAAATATATAACCTGACCCAAGGAATTTTAGAAGGAATTTCGGAAGACAATTCTAAAAGGAATTCTGAACAAAAATTAAGAAGAAATTTAAAAGGAAATTAGGAACAAATTTCTTGGAGAAACTTTGAAGGAAATTGAGGAAAAGTTAAGAAGGAAATTTAAGGGGGAATTCAGAAGGAAATTCAAAGAAAAATTGAGAAGGATATTTAGAGAGAAAATCGGAAGGAAATTTAAAGCAAAATTTAGAAGAAATTCAGAAGGAAATTTAAGGAGAAATTATGTAGAAAATTGAGGAGAAATAAAATAAGGTATTCACAACGAAATTCAGAACATAATTCAGGAATTAATTCACAGAAAAATTAACTCCAAATAAACCTACAGAAAATCCAACCAAAATTCAATGAGAAATTTCACCCCCCCAAAAAAATAAAACCCAAAGATAATCAGTGCAATAAGCTCGCACGCCCCCTATCATTTTCCGATCAGAAGCGTTAAAACTGTTAAAGGGAAAATGACAAGTGCAAACAGAGTTCCCGGGGAAAGTTAAGGGAAGTTCAACTGCGATATGGATACATATATATATCTGCCCTTTCCATATACATATATATATTTCTGTATGTTATAGTATAGTATATATATCGGTATGCAGACTAGCAGCTCCAAGTGGAAAGTGGAAAGTCCTCTTCATTAAGGCGTTGTCAAGTCGGGTCGAAGGCAAGTGGGCGTGGCCAGGCGGCAAAAACCGAAGCAAATGAAACACGTAACGAAGAGGGGGGAGAGAGAGGGGAGGGAAGGGGAGGGTGGGAAAAAGTTGTGTGTCCAAATTGCAAACGTGCAGACAGGCAAGGGGAAACAGGGGGGGGCGAAGGAAAATGGGTGTGGAAAATTCTCCTCTACACCACTTTCGGCGTTTAAGAAAAATGTCTGCCCTTGTCGTGTGTCATTGTTGCTCCTGCATGCATAATGACAAAAAAAAAAGGAGAGTAGAGAAAAAAGAGGAGAGAATAAAGGACGAGCCAAGGGACTGAAGAGCCCGAGTGCACTTGGGCGACAATTAGAAGAATTTTCACCATTTTCACCATTTTCAACCATTTTATTCTCGTTGCATCTGGGAGAGACTTTTGCCCAAGAAATGACACGACAAATGAATGTAATTGTGTGTGACACTTTCACTGGCACACCCTTTGCAACACACACACACACATCCTGACACACACACACACACTCTACTTGCAACACAACAAAAGCATATAATTTATTATGGCTTAACGGGTTCGCTTAAATTGATATAAAGGTCAAGAGTGCGCACGTGGACACCATGGCCACGGAGAGTGATGCGATGCGATGTGATGTACCGCTGTCTCTGTTCCTGTTCCCGTCCTTCGTCCTTTTCGTCCTTTCGTCCTTTTGCTGTATTTTCCAGCACAAAATCTCGCAGTGAAACCACCCATGAAACCGCCTGTCGGCTGATGAGCATAATGGGCTGGCAGCGAGCGAGCTCTGGAAACGAGGCCACTTCGTTGCCCAACCTGAACCTCAGTGGCCTACCACGCAACAGACATTCATTTCAGTTTGTGGTGCACGAGGGGGGTGGAGAGGGTTAAGACACTGTTAAAAAAGTATAAGAAAATCTATTACAAATTTATTCGAATTTTATGTAAGATTAAATTGAAGTAGATATATAATTACCTTGATTTATACAGTTTTTAAAAGAATTTTTGGTAAAGCTTTTAGAGGGTATGACAGAAAATATTCACTATTCAAAACTATAGTTTATTAAAATATATATTTAAATGAAGCAATCTATAAAACATACTCAGATATTCAGTTCATTTTAAGCCTCCATCATATCCATTTTATTTTTTAAATAATTTATACATCATTTTGTTTAAAAAATATTAAAAAATTAATAAATCGACACATACAATAAATTAAAAAACATATATTTTAGATACTATAATTTCACTCAGAAGCTTAAAACTAAGTGAAGGATTCACTTCCGACCCCATAAAACATATATATTCTTGATCAGCATGAACAGCCGAATCGATCTAGCCATCTCCGGAAGAAAATAAATTTTCAAATTTTTTTCAACATTTTTTAAGGCTTTAAAAATTGACAAAAATTGGAGAAAAAAAATCATTTTTTACATTTTAAGTTGAGTATGTAGATTTATTAACCTGATAAAAACTAGCATAGGACAGCTTTCCGATTGAAAATTGAAGCTTTTTTGGCTTAGTTATGAGGTTTTAAAAATTTGATTTGTTCTAAAAAATTTGCATATACAAATTTATGTAAATTTCGGTTTTTTGAAGTTGGATTCCTTTCTTGTGTTGGATAGTATTTAAATATTATAATTTTGATTTCTATCATATGATGTTTTTCGATCTATTTTATATTTTTTAAAATGTATTTATCAATCATATTGATATTTTTTGTCAATTTTTTATTATATTCTATACACTATTTAGGTAATAGCTTTTTTTATTAATTGAGTGCTATAATTGAAGATATTTCAACTTATATATTTAGATAAATATTTTATTCATTTTATGAATTTGAATTATTTTCTATAAATTATTTATGTAATATCTTTTTTAAGAAGATATTTCAACCATTTATATTTCAACTTATATATTTAGATGTATATTTTATTCATTTTATACTTTTCTCTCTATATAATATAGGAATTTTTTTCCATATGTATATCATTAATCCAAAGGCTTTAAAAAATGCCTAAACTTACTTATAATGTAAAATAAAATTAAAATATATAATATATGAATTAATATTTAAATAATAAATAAATAAAAATATATAAAATATATTAAAATCTTCAAATATAAATAATAATATAAATAAAAATCTTAAAAAAAATAAATAAATATTGTATATATAAATCTTAAAATAATATATATAAAGTGTAAAAAATATTAATGATGCTTTAGAATGTACACAAAAAATCGTACATATTTGTAACAAACAAAAGTGTTATTTTACAGCTGAAAAGTATATAAATTGTATATTTAAAACTCTTCTCTCAGTGCATTCAAACGGAGAGGGGGAGGGAGGATGGACACGTGCTGCATTTGCAACTGGCGCTAGTCAAAAGTTTGCTCTTCCAAATTAAGTGTTCAGCAGTTTGAGTGGCTTCTGGATTATGGGTCAAATCCTGGCCTCCAACCCATCCTCCAGCTCCTTCACCACAGAAGCTACTTAAATTATGTTCTGGCTTTAAACTCAGGTGGTTTCACCAACCAAAAATAAATATATACATATATAAATATATATATGAAAAACAACAAGAAAGGAAGGTAACTTCGGCACGTCGAAGTTTATATACCCTTGCAGATAGAACTTTGATGACTAGGAATCCATACAATATAAATTATATATATTTATGTCAAAAAACAATGAAGTAATACCTGCTTTCATTTTATTCACCTTTACATATTATATTTGCAGTTTTACATTCACAGATTTGCATTTTTGCTCCACATCTAACGATCGTTTGTATGGCACCTATAAGATATAGTCGTCCGATTTTCATGAAATTTGACACAAAATTTAAGACTAATATAAAATAGCTATACCTTAAATTTGATGAAAAGCAGCTGAAAACTGAAAAAGTTATAAATTTAATTGTATTAATTTCT